AGATCTTTCTGGTTTAAAAATAATCTTACTTCTTCAATGCAAGCAGCAAATTGCATTAACACTGATCCTCTGGAAAGCCACCTTACTTTATTGTGTAAAAAAAAAAAGATCAGAATATTGGCTATTGACTTTGTTAAAAAGTTCATAAAATTGCCGATGATATAGTGGTCTTGCTATTATTTTGTTCACAATTTGTATAATCAGTTCCATAACTAATGTTATTTCCTTTGATAAAGTTTGCGAACAAAGTGCTTCTTGATGGACTATGCAGTGAAAAGAAAAAACGTCGTGCAAAATTTGTTTTTTAAACATAGAAACAAAACCTTTCTTTTCACTTTTTGTACTTGATGCTCCATCGGTTACAATTGATGCTATTTTATTAATATCGATATTTTTACTTTTCAAACAATTGGTAACCACAGATTCTATGTCCTTGCCTCGAGTTTGTTCTGTAAGTGGCAGTATATCAAGTAACTCTTCCCAAGGTCTTGAGTTAACGCATCTACAAATAAGTACAACCTGTGCAATATCATTCGCATTGCAAGATTCATCACAGGCAATAGAAAATACTGGTGTTTAACTTAAATCCGTAATCTGCCAACTAGTTACATCTGTCATACGAACAGTTCTGTCTCTTACAGTCTTAGCAGACAATGACGTGTCTTTTATTTTAGCAATTACAGTAGAGCGTCGATTTTCCGAATCAATTGGGGACTAGGGNATAAAAATAATATTTTTATTATATATTATTATGTTGTAATATATTGTATTATATTTTTTTAATATGTGAGGAACAAATGGATGTAACTTGTGAATTCTCCCATTTATTTTAAACATCGGAACCATCAAATTTTACCTGGAAAAAAAAAAACTACTCTCATTAGACGTAAAGTCAGTAAAGGCGTCAAACTATCGCTCTAGAAATGGGTCCGATTTGGACACCTCAAACATTTCGTGGCGGCCTATCCCGAATCTATTGTACCGAGAAGTCATTATTGTAGTCTACACACAAAATCCTGTCGCGGATGCCATTGTAAGATTTATTCTCTCAACCCAAATTTGAATTAACATTAATTCGGCGTATACTACAAGAAATTTTCGGTTTTCGCTCCTACCGCTCGTTATTTCTCGGTCCCGTTCGCCGATAACTCTCTTCGTTGCTCGCTCCCCAGATGGAAAGAAAAAAGGTGTTTTCCGTCGGCCTTTTAGCCTTTTGTATTCTCTTGTTCCCCCCGCCGGGTTCATCGCCCGCTCCGGGTCTAACGGACGATGAAACATTCGGGAATTCATCAAACAAAGGGCATTGTGTCCGAGATAGGAAAACAATGACGAGCGATGCTTACGGGAATCGCAAACTATAATAAAACTACCCGATATTGTTACTTTTTGATAAAAAGATTCACCAAATGTGAGAAACAAGAGTGACTCTCACTCGCCGTTCCATTGTGGATTCGGTCAGGTCCACAATGGGGCGGCTAGGTGGTGAGAGACGGGATACGACATATCCGAGACTTACTGTCTATGAAAAATCCCGAGGAATTTACTCGGTTTCCAGATTCGATCCTGGATTCCCCAGAACGACAGGTGCTTCGACAAAATCTGGCCATCTCATACTATTAACAGAACAGTACAGATGAAAGAAAGGAGGACTAACTCATGGGCGTAGCGAGGGGGGAGCCTGGGTGGGCACGGCCCCTCCCAGGGAACCTGGTGCCCCCCAGGAAATCACAGCCGAAAAAGTGTTGAGTCGATTTGTAAACACCTAAAGCTAAAATAAAAGTTTTGAATACTAAAAAAAAGGTGAACGGTTTGCTCGGTGCCCAATAATGAACAATAATTTGAAATAATTCAATTTTGTGTCAGGTTGGCCTCCACTAGGCCCCCCATAACAAAACTCTGGCTACGCCCATGGACTAACTCTAGGTCTGTTAAATGGTACTGTACATGAAGGATTTTAAAATCGGCCAGAAGATAATCGAAGCGATCAAAGATCTGTATTGTGGTGTCAGAATACCAGCGATGGTAATACAGAGGTGATCCCATTTAGGAGTGAAGCAAAAAAGAGACATCTTCTGCCATCGACATTATTATATGTGGAACTCCTTGATAACTTTTTAAAAAAAACCATGACGATATCCAATTAAATAGCTAACGAATTAATTGCTCGGCTTTCATTGATGACATTCGTAAGACATTGTACAACTAGGACAACAGGCTGTAGGACCTACGTTGCGTGCCGTATTGGAGTTTCTGGCCGAAGGATGACATTTTATGTTAAAAAATATCAGGGTATGTTGTCGATTCCGGTTAGAAAACATATGTATTTATTTCATCTTTATTGCAAGGCTCTCTAAATTCTACTAATCTATTATTTTAACCATATCAATTACTTCTTTCTGGAGACACGAGAAAATGGAAAATAAATGGAAATTAAATACGGAAATGAATTCACAATATCTAGGTATAGGTTGGTTGGTTTGATGGGATACGGCGAGGCAACACGTGAACGATCTATCAAACAAAGGGGAGTGCCGCCCAGAAAATCGACCTCTATTTAGGTGTTCATGATAGATTTAGTATATTTTACCTGAAAAATTCAGAAAACTATTTTATCTTGTCGACATATCAGAAAAGGTGAGCAAGAGGAAATTAATGACAAATGTCAAATCACGGATGTCCGGGGGAGATCCGGTCGTCTCGAACCACCGACAATAGATAATTGACAGAGATTTTATAAATAAAGTGAAATCTTGGATTGGATACGATGGAAAAGATAATTAGATAGGCCTATAATAAAATAGTACAGGGTTATTTAAATAGCATTCGATTACAGAATTGTAAACGTATGTTTGTTGCAACCCAGACAAGACTGATTAGCTTTTCTGATGGGTATGATTAAAAATGCCCTCTTAGTGCCTACAGAGCGTGCCTAACACCTAAGTAGGGGCCTGTTTTCCATTAAAAGTCCTCCCGGGAGACATTCCCCACCATCGCCCACGTGTTGCTTTGTCGTATATCATTTCTTTCCGACACATGTCCGTGTCATAATTATGTAGTACTGCATTATTACCATTAATAATACGTTACACGTAAGAGTTACGTATAATTAATGTACAAAATTAAGTGATTTATCAAGTAAATTTTAATTGATTCTATAATTAATAATACACTTGATAAAGAAATTAAAGAGTAATTAATTTTAATAATTGATTTAAAGATGTTATTTTAAGTTGTAGATACTTTTATACGCGGAAAAACAAAATGGCTACCTCCTGTCCATTCTAATGTATGCATAATGGTTTTCATTTAAAGTGTAAAATATATTATTGGGTATCAAATATGTCATACACTAGAGTAAGCCACTAATAGGGCCTTTTTCGGTCCTATCGTGAGTTCTACTAGGTCCGAGAAAGGCCCTCTTAGTACAACAAATACGTATTTAATGTTTGTAACGCAAATTAGTACCAAATTTGTGGATATTTTACGACGTTTTCTCGTTTATAATGATCAAAACATGACATTTCACATATCAATCGATCGATTTCTATAATCTATTACGCGGATCTGTCGGATAGAGCGCCATTTTTCACCTAGTGTCAAATTTTTGAAGGAGTTTTCTGCACTTATAATCATTTCTATTAAATTTATAAGTTTTATATAACTCCAATAATTTTCCCCCTTTTTTTTTTATAAGCTTAGAAACGTTGGAACGGGGAAATCTGAATAGAATATTTACATAAATACGCAACGTTTTCCTCTCAACTTTGACATTTTATAAAATAAATAGCAAACATATTACGAGGAAAGGACGAATTCTAACTTGAATACTATTGGGGGGGCATGTCACATCCCCGAATCACGAGAGGCAAGCCTCGAACGAGGTCAGGTAAGATTAAAAAAAAAAAAAAGGGGGGGAGTGAAAGGATCGAGTCTCTTAATTTCGTGACCTTTTTGCCCTTTGTATAACACGTGCCAAGAGTTAATTTCCATTTCTAAGGAAGTTTCTATCATTCTAGGATTTAGTCAAGCCCTGTCTGACACACTTCCTACCAGGTTAACTGTCAGGAAGTATGTACGATATGACGTTATTTCTACACAGAAAAATTCGTGTATTTTAGGTGTTTTCTTGTGTTTCTTCGTACACGAAACCGAATTTGACTTCTACCCGTGTTTAATCTATATTCTAAAGTCCCGTAAAGAGGGGATACTAAAGGGGTAATCGCGTGTATTCTCATACGATTCGACCTCTAGTCTGCCAGTCAGTTTGTCGATCCGCAGCTACGTTATATACCTAAAAATAATCACTTTCGATGAATAATTTATCTGATAAAAATTCAAATTTAATTGAATATTATTTTAGGATAATAAAAATTCAATTCGGTTAGCGAGAACGTCGAATGCCATGAAAAAATTTTTAATGGAAGACGATCGGAAGAGCGAAAACGTGACGAGGAATGAAAACATTCACCATTTAAAATGCTTTTTTTTTTTCTCGTTTTTGCGCCAATGTTTTAATGTTATGTCATGAAAATTGACTTTTCCATGATCATTTATCTCCGCTTTGTCATTTTGATCGAGTGTTGCAAGAATCACTCTCTCTACAAATGCCATGGCTAATTTGCATACACGGGCGTTTTCGTGTGCTAGATTAGAAAATAATACGCCAAATTTAACACGTTTCGAGTGTTTTAAACACTCGAAACGTGTTTTAAACACTCGAAACGTGTTCAACGAGTGTTAAATTTGTAAAAATATTCGTCTTAAATTATACTGTTAAGAGTTATATATGGGTTTATATTGCTCAACACGCTTAACAATTCATTAAAGAACGTGACTGGACAATAATGACACATGAATTTTTCTAACGTCTCCTATTTTCTAGTAGAAAAATAAATAAATAATGTTACTATTTTAAAATAATATCGTATTTTCAAGAGCATCTACATCGAATTAAACGAGAGGAATTAATTTTTTTTTTACAATGGATTTATTAACAATTGTTTAATTAACAAAATACAGCTAATTTTTCCAGGTTAAATATATCTAACAGTTAATTTTATGTACAGTTTATTTAATTGTACTGCTTGTACAGCTCGTACCACTACTACTTACATTCGACAAGAGTCATCGGAATCTGATAATTGTTCGTCGAAGGATTGTAAGGATTGTAATCGATACCTTGGTTCTATGGGCTCGTTTTCTTCTTCCAATTCCTCTATCCTCGTCATTGCTGGCAGACTTTCGGCTCTAGGACGGAAATTATTGACTCCTGTACTTAGTAGGAGCTTCCTTCGTGGTGGTAGGGGATTAGCCAAGGACACGCGATACTTCTGTCTTCTTAATTTTTCGCGGCGAAATTCCTGTAATGCCGTCACCAATTTCTCGTTAAGCAGAGTGGATAATTGTTGAGCTTTTGTATCCTTGCCGCACAACACGGCGTGGCATCTCAGCTCGTGTTTTAAGGGTCCTGTCTCGTGCCTGTAAATCCAGCAAAAAACGCGCGGATACGAAGAATGGGTGCCACAGAAGGTAATCCTGTACGCCCAATATTCCGTTTCCCCGTGTTCTTTGGTGACTGCTTTCAGACCGGAATTACACACGGATATCTTCATGGATACGTTCTCCTGTTGGTTATTCGACAAGTAATTATCCCACAAAATAGCCAGAGGCCTATCGATGCAACCTTCACCTTTGGCCCAAACTGTCAGGACGTTTCCTAAATACTGTACTTTAAAACACGGGTCGTATTCGGTCACGTTTAAAGTCCACTTGTTCCAGAAGCGGTGCATCTTCTGTTTGATACCAGAAGCGGGTAATTCGGTAGCGTTAGACATGACGACTTGAATATACACCCCTTCTAGGTAAACACGACGGAACGAATGCCTCGTACGTTCGACTCACTCTTTCCGCTAGTGTCGGGTGACGTCACACAGAGTAGAGGATGATCCGCGGTGTTACGTTAATATTTTTCAAAACACGTGTATATAAACACTACGATGAGATCGATATTTAATATTTATATAAGACATCACGCGTGCTGGGGATAACATTATCATCGACGCAAATTTTATATAGTTTTATTAAAGTATTTTAAAGTTATTACACAGTTTGTGGATGCGTTAAGTTGTTTACCTATTGTTCTATTGAATTGTCTAACAGTCGATATTATTAACGACAATTTAAAAGAAAAAAAAAATGGCATTTTCTAACAGTTTTTCCTTATATACCACTACATTATCAATAAAAACTTTAAGGCCTTACTCTACGAAGGCCTCACGCTTGATAGAAGCGAGTGGCCTCTTATGTATACAATACGAGTTTAAGGGGTATAAAATTACACGAATCAAAGTGTAAATAACAGTATAAAATTTCTACAAATGATACAAAATATATTTATGTTATATGAAATAAGAGTCGCGTGTTTCTGTGTTTCTGCCGTGTGTTTTTTTCTCTTCTTTTGATTGATTCGCGTGTTTATTTTTCGCTACACTTTAATATTTAAGTAAGAAAAGATTGGAGAAAGCATTAAAATATCTACACGATATAAATAGTTGCAACAAATCATCAATGTCAAGGCGTAAAAATAAATGGGACGGATGATACGATCGATAAGGACACTACTTAAGTGTTCTAGTTTCACTTACGAACAGACTTCATCAATTATTAATGGTGTAGCAACGAGTATAACTGTGTTTATTTACATTAGTAACGTAAATATTATCGATAAATTAGATAAATATGAAGTATAAATTACGTCTTGCGTAACATATTTCATCCTAAATATTTAAATAACACGATGTGTTATCGTTGCTTACAGATACACACGTTTGGCCTATATATTATGTATCGTGCAAGTGGTTCGTGAGAAGAAAAATTTGACTGATTAATGCATTAAAATGTGCATTAAAAAGATTCTGATACCGATTACTACACGTGGAATGATGTAGAGAATCGAATGCAACACGTTACTTAAACAGACTGCAGCTTAGGGCCTCGTATTTTTACATGCATCGTTATTTGTTGCAGGGAAGGGCCTTAACCCGCTCTCTATGTAAATAAATCCCCGGTTAATTAAGCTACTGCTTAAGTCAACAAGGCTGACCGATTACATTCTTGGAAAAACCAGGCCCTATATTCCTGTCGTTCGATTTTATTGTCGTGTTTATTATTGAGGGTATCGCAGATTGATAATTAGAAATTTGAAAAATTATTTTTATTAATTTATTTGGGCCTAGCACCAGCTCCGAAGTCCAAATATTTTTCTCAAATAATATCGATCTCTGTTCCTGGACTTCCAGTCGATCCCGACAGAAAGGGCACGAAAACCGTCAGAGCCGAAGCATCGAAAACTAAAAGATACCCCGTGTAAAAAGGCCCGAAGAGCCGTTCTATACGATCTAAGACGTTCCAAATCGAAGAGACGTCAAAGGCGTGGGCCAACCGTTCTGGGGAATCCGGGATCGTATCATAGCAAGCAAATTCGAGGAATTTTTTACGAGAGATCTGTCCGGATACATCCGGTCTTCTCCCTCAACCCGACCACCGATCGAATTTATGACTCTTGTATTTAAAAAAAAAAGAACTTTCAGTGCCCATAGAGCGAAAAAATACTGTTTACACAAATAAATCTTATACAGTATATATTAATATCGTATTCAATTCGACGGGCGAATGGCCGAGCGGTCAAGATAGCACTCTGGGGGAACGGGTGAGAAAACTCCAGGAATTTTTCGGGGGGCATCCGGATACGTCGGGCCCCATTCCTCACCACCCGGTCGAACCCGGGCCCTCTCGGTGTCCACGGGGCGAAGAGCGTTTAATTAAAGTAAAAAAAAAAAAAAGTCCCGCCATCGACGAGCGACAACATATCCAACTCGTATCAATCACCGTTGAAAGTAGAAAATTTATGAAAAATTTAATTATTATTTACCGAAATTACGGAAGAGGTTTTTATTGCGGGTTAAAACCGAATAAATTCCCGATTTAATTTGGGAAATTTATCCACGGGCGGGTTGGCAACACTCTTGCGAAAGTACCATCTTTGTTTCTGGCAACCAAGATGGCGGCGACCAAGTGGAGCAATTTGCCATACAATGTTTTAGAAATAATCTTTTCGTACTTAGACTTAACCGAACTGAGGAGTTGTTCTCTGGTGTGTAAAAACTGGTACAAGTTACTGAACGACGAGAACAACGACGTGTGGAGGATGCACTGCATTAGAAAGTTAGCGGAGGAGGCGTTGAAATCCGATTTGCTGTCATCGGTGCCGACTTACAAGTCCAAGCTGAAGTCGTTCTACCACGCTTGGGACCCGAACGAATGCTCGAGAAATATTTACATCAAACCCAACGGGTTCACGTTACATCGAAATCCCGTGGCGCAGAGTACGGATGCCGCCAAAGGCAAAATCGGGTTTCGGACCGGTCGTCATTGTTGGGAAGTTTGGTGGGAAGGACCGCTGGGAACCGTGGCCGTCATCGGAATCGCCACCAAGGAGGCGCCCCTCCAGTGTCCCGGTTACGTGGCCCTGTTGGGATCCAACTCGGAAAGTTGGGGGTGGAATTTGGTCGATAATCATCTGTTACATAACGGAGACAGTCAAGGCAATTATCCCCAACTTAACAATGCGCCTAAGTATCAGGTTGGTAGGCTCTTGCGGCTTCTGTTCATCTTATTGTGTTTTACGGTGCGTTTTAAAAATTAAAACGCTTCTAAATGGTCCGTCGGGTAAATTACTTCGGTTTCGTGTGGAGATACGCTTGCCGTCGGAGACCTGCGGTCCGTTTGGAGGCTCCGGTGTGGAGAGACCGCCAAAAGGGATGCGAATCTGGGAGACGTTTACCGGGTCTGGCATGAAATGGATCGGGTGATGGCGAGGCGAATCTGTCGAGGCGTCACCGCTCGGCTAGATTGGTCGTTCCCAAACTTTTTTGAGCCATCGTCTCCTCAGTTCCGAAAAGTTATGCTCGATGCCCCAACCTGTTTTCCCTCGTGCGAGAAAGACTCGGAAACGTTCTTAGAAAAACTTCTCAACGAGACTAGTGCTTTGTGCCCTTACCGTGCTTTATTCTTCTGCTGCCAGAAACCATTAGACCCATGACGTTTCGTCTTATCCGTTTTGACAGAGGAGCGGGAAAGGTCACCGGCGACCCTGGCCCTCATTTGTGTTCGCCGTTCGGTACCCGTCCCTGCCGCCCACTCGCTTTGTTTTGTCTCCTAGAATTACTTGCCACTTTGAGAACTGCCGGGGTAGACACGGTACGCAGATGCAAACAAAAGAAGGGCTCTCGTAAAATACAACTCCTAGAGATTTTGTTTTTGGGGTGCTGGACAACTGGCAGAAATTTAAAGGGGAAAATAAGATTTGGATTGATGCTGTAAAATGGTGTTTAAAATGTAATGTTTTGAGCAAGAGAAAGTTTTAAAAAACTGCCACGCCTTTTTGGGCGTGTCATTCTTAATCGTGAGCGATGTAGAGAAAATTTTGGAGATTATCTTTTAAAGGGTTACTCCCAGATCTGGCAGACCGATACTTCTTTTGCTTGTGTGGTAATGTTTGCGACTTTAGCAAAACAATTATAAGCTCCGGTGGAGGAAAAATTTGATGCTTCGGTTAATACGTTAGCTAATTGTAATCGAGACGAATAGAACTTGCATGTGAATAGTTCTTCTGGAGCCTTTTTCTAGAATTTTCAGCGACACGCCAATTCTCGATCAAATATGCCGAACAGTTACGCAGTTAGTCTCTCAGACACACAAATTTTTAATTACTGTATTCAAACTAATTGTTGGAAGAAAATGAAAAATTCTTAGTTTATACATAAAAATTGGTTATTTTCAGTTCTGAAACGTCGCTTTCTGTCGATACGAGAATTGCCGGCTCATAAAAAATTTAATATAATTTTTAAATGGTTACGCAGATGGCAGCATGTACTATTTATAGGCTGCGGATTGCATTTTATATAGAAGCTTTCGATGATCGAATGTAAGCAAAATTTGACTTTTACTAATATATTTTATCTTTAAGAGCCAATAATACAATAGTTTTACTTATATGTTGGCCTATCCATTTGGTTTATTATGGTATTAAAAGTCACATTTTTATTTATGTTGTAATTTTTTTGTACTTTAATTTTCCTGACATTATTTTCGAACTTCAAACAAAAATACTGAAATTCTTTTTATGCAAACATATGACATTTTTGTTTATAAAATTATGCATGAGTTTAAATCAATATTTCTAAAACATTTTTAACTATTATTAGCAATGATAATTAAAATTCGTTTGGTATTAAAATTGAACTTAATAAAATCGTTTATTTGAATCCATTTACTTTTTTTCTATACAAAAAAAAAATGTTAAATAATTGCTTTATCTACAAAAAATGGGAATTTCGAATGGTCTAGAACGGTATTATTTTGTTTTGTCGTTAATTTAAAAAACGAAATGATTTTTTGCTTTTATCGTCTATTTTTGGGTTTGTTCAAATTCTTGAAATTAATTTAAGAAGAAAAGATTTTCTGAAAGAATAATTTTTAGATTTAAATTCTAAGCGATGTTCTTTGGATAATCATGTGAGAATATTCTAAATTAGTTAGTTTAATTCTAATTATTAAATTTAGTACAAGATGGTGACATAATTGCCTACCATTTTGTCAAAATTAGGTAGCATTTGTGTATTTAATTAGCCAAAATGTAGCTTGATAATAAATTTGGGTTGATTAGTTTGTTTAGCAACAGCAATGAAAATAGAAAATTAACACTATTTTAGACTGCTAAAGTTGACAAAAATTCAAACAATTTTAATGATTTACACATCTAAAATACGGAATTAAGTGTTTAATGACATTTATAATTGTTGAAATGTTTTTCGGAGTTGTCTGTCTTCATAGATTCTGTAACATAAGCATTCTTTTCCTCTTAAGTGTGGAAACACAAGGCAGATGACATCCGTTTTCTTGTGTCTTCACTGGATACATCTAGCCGATATTTTTTCTAACTTAAAAATTATTTAGTTAACTAGTTTTTTTTTTAAATAAAAGATATATTCGAAAACTTCAAGAGACTGCTTAATTCCTAGCTATAAAGTATTACATGCAAATGGTTTCTTCTCCCCCTCTCCTTTCTTCTTCTATCTTCTTCTTCTCTAAGGATATATTCTCAGAGGTAACCCATAAAAGTATCCATCTGAACTCGAAAAATACTTTTGCTATATATTTTTCCTTATTTAAGTTATCGCTCTCTGAGAATTGCACAGTAAGATGATCTTGTGGTTGTTCTGACGAGGTTAGAATATTCTCTTTAACAGCAAAAAAGAAGATGCGGAGTATTTTCCTCCCTCCTGAATATATTTTTNCAGTAAAACAATGTTCGTCATTACTTTACCAGAAAATTTCAAAAATATGTTAAAAGCATCGTGAAATGATATGAAATGTCAGGTTTGAACTGTCAAAGGCAAACAAGGGTGGAGTCCTTGGTAATTTATATAATTAGAATATACTATATTTACAGTTTTACATTAGGTAGATTCTATATTAGATGACAGAAAAACAGATGATGCATCAAATTTCTGTTATATAACATACAAGGATAATAAAGGGAAAATATTCAAGAGTTTGTTTACAAATCGTTATATTATGGAGTTTCTCCAAAGCTGGTTTTTAACTGGTCAGTTGACCAGCAAACTGTTAACAATAATAATCTATATATATATAAAAATGGACATGTATGTCCCTATATTTCACTTTTTTGCAAAAACTACACATCGCATGGGAATGTGTTTGTATGTGGTAGTAGCCCCAAGTCTCTATTCGTGCATAGGAGTGGTTGCGTCTCGATAGCTATAAGGGTGCGGGAGATATGAGGCTGAAAGTGGTTGAAAGTGGCTTTCTATTTCGAAAGTTTTGTTCGAATTTAATTCGAACATAAAATTCGAATATTGGTTCGATTATAGAACGATCGTAAACGTTCCAGAAACGTTGAAAATAGTTCGTTTGACCGGACGTGAACAGGAGATGTTCAGAAATAGAATCAGGACCAGGTCTCTAATTAGTCTGGAAATGGGGGACCTAATTCTTGCATTCTGTGAAAACGGGTAAGATTGGCTATAATGTAATTATCTTAATCTTCACTATCGTTACTTTTTAAAAACCCAGTGAAGCGGGTCCTTGCAGCTAGATTCTAGATTACTTAGAAAAACAGTCTTTTATATATATAAAAAACTATACATACAAATGTACGAACAAATAAAAACCCAGCGAAGCGGGTCCTTGCAGCTAGTAAAAAAATAAAAATGTATAGTTTTATTAAAGACAACCAGAATATGGATTATTATGCTATTAAGTTATAAATATTGTTTTTATTATTATTTACTGAGGTTCGTAGGGCAGTTTGTCGTAAGTGGCCGGCCAACCAACGTCGGTCGATCACCTAAAATATTTCCCGGGGACAACACACTTGCGTAATCAATAGTTTTACTAAAATCGATTGATTATAATCTTTCTAGCAACAACTTTGAAGTAAAATGTTTAGCTCTATTTATATACATATAGTCCTGTCCAGAAAAAAAAACAGAAGGAATTAAATATGAAAATACTTTTTCTGATCAAGTATTTTAATTACTAGGCAATAAAACGATAAATTTATAAGATTCAGTTAATTCTCTTTCAAAATTAATTATAACAGTTTAACAAAAACTTTAATTGTTAAGTTTTAAGACATTTTTATAAAAGAGAAAGTTCATCAATGCAATAAAATTGCATTCTTTTCGTATTTAAATGACATCTTTTGGCAGTCATCTTCACGAAAAATAAATCCAATTGGTCTTTGAAGAGAATGAGATAAATTATTTAGTTTGTTTTAGTATTCCGGTATTCTTTAAATAAAAATTTATTGACTTTTTTCTGATGACATCATTTACAATAATAAAAAAAAATAAGAAGATAAATTTGATTTTTCTTTTTTATTTAAAAATAAAATATATAAAAGTGTTTTATTTTATACTATTTTAATAATAAATTTAAAAAATTTAGTACAGTTCTGTTTAATTTGCAGCTAAAAAAACAATGAGAAATTTTAAATTTTTTTAAAACTGTTCTGTGGGAAATAGGAGGCCTTTTCTCTTAAATACCGAACTCGGCCAAGCTACTATAGGGGTGGCCAGATATCAGGAGAAAGGGCTCAATGTATCTCAAAATTTCCGAATCGCATCATACTACCAGAGTGATAAAGGCACTGGTCTTTACCAATTTAGCCAATTTTATACCTTGTAATATGAGGAATTAAAGGGAATGAATGCATCCTATTAATTTAAAAAAGAATTATTTAATTTCTGCTGTCAGTAAAATCTAAAATTATCTGTTTATTTTAGTGCGAAAATAGATAAAACAGTGTTGATATTTTAGTTTCTATCTTAGGGCAGTTTATAAAATTTCTGAATTTAATAAAAGAAAAAAAATAATCATTTCCATCTGGCACATGACATCTTTAGATTAAATTATTTAAATAATTATTAGTTGACATTTGAAAGGACAGTTTAAAATAGATTGTCATTTCTGTGTAATTTGGAGATTCTTTATTGAAGATTTATTGATTTTGAGTTATTTGAAACTATTTAATTTAAAATAAGAGAAATTATTTTAAATATTATTTAAAAATATGATAAATATTTTGATAAACCGTCTTTAATACAAAAATCACAAATTATATAAATACGTGTGTGCGGTAAAAACACTAAATTACGTGCAGTGACGGATAAACTAAAAGTTTTCTTAAATATCCGTTTGTAGAATGGCAACTCAAGAAGGAGAAAGGATAGGATTGATGGAATAGGTCAGTGTATTACATAGACAATCTTCTAAGGGGATACCTCCCACTGGAACTCTATGGAAAACTGGATCGTATATAAGCAATATGCATACAAAGAAAACAAGAAAACTCTGCATGGTCGGCTTGCCAGCAAGGTGCAAATCTGCGGCCACTTAAAATTTGGTGATTTTTATTCACTCGACCGCTAGTAAACAAGAAAGAAAGAATTGTTTCCTAAAACATTTCAGAATGAAAATTGTAGAAGTTGATTACTATGTTGCTAGGACTGCTTGTTTATTTATGCAGTAGCATTTATACATTATGATCAATTAGAAATTGGACTTATATTAATTTATTATAAATTGATTGATAATGTGATGATGATCCGAGGAATTCTTAGACGACAGTAAATAAAATTGACAAGTAAAAATTAAATTCCTCAAACTCTGAACATAAATGCTTATTTTTAGAACTTATACAATCCCAAAGATGAGCATAAACTTGCAGATTTTTTAAAATTTGGTATTTATATATATTTTCTCTATCTGAGCTTTTTAAGTAAAATTTACTTATTATATGAACACACCATAAATATGCCATGATAAGACAGTTGTTAAATTTATTTTTCTTTGTTTTATTTAATAAATAGATTCAGATAAACATGATTTTATTTTTATTATGTTTACTAGTTGTGTTAAAAATGGAATTATACAATTGTTTCTTCGTAAATATATCAAAATACATTTCCAATTTCAATATTCTGGTATAAAACAGCAGTAGATGTACAAAAACAAAATATTTAAGCGTATTTTTATGTTCTGCAGAATTTCTAATCAATCTAAATTTTTGATGATCAGATGTCTTCTGCAATCAATTGGATAAGATTGTGTGTTTGCATTAATGATAAAATAATTTAAGGATTTTTCTAACGCTCTTCTAATCGCTTAATTTTTTTAATGACAGGTCGGGGAAAGGATTCGTGTCATCCTGGACTGCGAAGACAATACACTAGCATTCGAGCGAAATTACGAATTTCTAGGTGTGGCTTTTCGTGGATTACCGGACAAAAAACTTTATCCTTCCATATCTGCGGTGTATGGAAATACAGAAGTGTCGATGGTTTACTTAGGACATCCGTTGGATGGCTGACACCTATATTTTATAATTGGATATTTAATAAATCATGTGATCTGATGGTAGGTTTATTTTATTTCAATTTAAATTTTATTTTCTTGAGAAAATTATATAAAAATTGTACCAAATTGGCTTTTTTTTCTAATAATACACATTCGACGGAATAAAAACTAAATTTACAGTTATTAATAAATTATTGTATATATTTATATATTAAAATTTTTTTATTGAAATATAAAATATAATGCAAACATTAATATAACAAATGGAAGCAAATGCAAATAATAATTGCAACAGTTTACACGTATTGTTTCTTTACTTCTGTTTTTGCCTCGGTATGGTTAAATCTGTAATGTTTATCTCTTGTCCTATTGGGAAGTCCATTTTCAAAAAATAAAAGTTGAGTTGCTAATTTCTAAATAGCATAACTGTTAGGTTTATCTTTTAAAGGCTTGAAAGGCTAATTGGTTGATTAGCAATTGCAAAACATAATCTTTTATACTATTGATATGCTTTAGAGCAGGGGTGTCCAACCTTTTCGTTTCTCTGGGCCACATTGGAAGAAGTAAAGGAGTTTTGGGCCACAAGTATATATAATATATACTTGTGGCCCAATATACAAGTATATTTAAGGATTAACGTGTCTAGATTATAATAATAAGTATTAAAACTTTATCACAAAAAAGAATGTTTTGAAAAATTACTTCTACAGACACTTTCAATTTTTACTTAGAAATAGATAAATTCATTTATTATAAAAGAGAAAAACGAAAATTTATTTTTAAAACACAAATATTTGTTTTATTTGAGTCTCTAATTAATAATAAGCAACGAAATACCATTTTAAAGTGCATTTTTATTCAACTAATATA